TAGCCTGTATTTAGAACCACACCATGGCCTGTCCAATGTACCCTTCTCCTTTCCAGGTTCATCTTACCAGTCCTAACCTTGGCCAGGCAAGGCTGCTTACTGCCGTCTCCACAGACGTGGCACTTTCCTTCCTAATGCCTTGGCCCACACCATCCTTTTCAACAGAAATGCCCACCCCTTCTTCCACCTACCCAAACCCTACTCCTTTTTTACAACCCTTGAATCCACCTCCCCCTTGAATCTATCAACTCAGCCAGAAATGATTTCACCTCACCTTCCTGAAACCCATTATTTAAATCAATTACATGGCATTTACCTTATAATGCCTTCCCTCATAGTTATGTCCCCAGGTAGTTCACCTTCCACACTAAGTTGTAAAACCTTTGAGGGCTTCTTTACATTACATTTCCCACAGTGTTCTTCATGGCATTTCACATATACAGGTTTCTCACTAAGTACTCACTGAATGACTGTTTATTGAGCGAAATCAGCCTTTTGGCTGCTGGAAAAGGCCCAGAGTGAAATGAGCAAAGCAGGGCTGATGACTATAAAACATGCATGGGTGCAGTGAGGCATGAACGCACACAGACACACACATCCGCCTACACAGGAGGCCAGCTTATATATTCTGTCCACTTTAAAGCAGTTAGAGGATGAATGACAACCACACCGCGTGGAGCTGAGCAAGCACTTCATCTCTCTTGAAGATCTGCCATTTTTCAAAGCCTTACTTACTCCATGGACCAGACACTAAAAAGACACTAAAAAAAAGCTGAAGTGAAGAAACTGAAATAAAAGCTTAAGTGAACAAATCAAAATATGACTGAAATAAGAGGCACTAGGCTATTCTCAAAGAAAGCTTACAGTCACAACCTATTCTAAAAAAAAAAAGAAATCTAGGCTGGTATCAGAAAATCTGGGTTCAAATCTAGGCTCCATTACACCACATGGACATTTCATCTGACCAGCAAGCTGCTTTTCCCATCTAGGAGAAACAAACAAAAAAGTCTCTTGTACAGGAAAACTTGTATCTCCTACAACTTATTGCCCCAACGTAGTTCTCTATTCATGCAGCAGGAAAAACTGTCAGTTAGGGAGGAAAGGTTTTATCACCATCTTTTGTGGTATAACCTGTTCACCTATCTTGACTTAACTTGGAATCTAATTGGAAAAGTAAAACTCAAAGGCAGTTTGTGGCTCATTATGGAAGGGGTTGATTTCAGAAGATCTAGGCCAACCTCCTGCTAGACCTACCCTAGTCATCTTCAAGGCAAGACAGAGAGGGCAGCATCTGGCCTTGCCTAGTTTCAGAGAACTCTCCCTCTCAAATGCCTTCCTCTTCAGTTCAAGTTCATCACCTCAAGTTTGAATTCCAGTGAAAGACTCTTAGCTAGTCTCTGTGAATCTGGGCTCTCCCAGGGTCCAAGGAGTGTACTTGTCGCTACCAAACCAAGTTGCAATGACCTCCCAACTGCCAAATCCATGGGTCTCTCCTCAGCCTTTACCTTATTTGACCTTCCTCTACCATCTGAACTGTTGAAACCACTGTTGCACTTCTTTTCACAACCCTCTCTCCTCTCTTGGCTTCCATGATACGGCTCATCCTGAGTCTTCTATTTTCTTTGCTGGCCCCCCTTTATCCTACCCATTCCCAAAGCTCTTGCTCTCCAGTCTTCAGTCCTCTATTCTCTTCCCCTCTCTTTCTACACACTACTCCTTTTTTTTTTTTTTTTTTTGAGACAGAGTCTTGCTCTGTCACCCAGGCTGGAGTGCAGTGGCATGATCTCGGCTCACTGCCACCTCCACCTCCTGGTTCAAGCAATTCTCCTGCCTCAGCCTCCTGAGTAGCTAAGACAGCAGGCATGCACCACTACAGTTGGCTAATTTTTGTATTTTGCAGAGATGGGGTTTCACCATGTTGACCAAGCTGGTCTCAAACTCCTGACCTCAAGTGATCCACTCACCTCAGCCTCCCAAAGTACTGGGATTACACATATGAGCCACCACACCCAACCACTACACACTACTTCTGATCAAGCTCCTCCACTCCTATGGCCTCAGCTTGCTCCTGTGTGCTCATCTCTCCCAAACTAACATCTTTCCTGAGCTCTAGACCTGCTTTCAGTTGCCTACTGAACATTTCAATACAGATGTGATTCAGCCTGTCAGAAACCAAACTCAGTAGCTTCTTCCCCCTTCCTCCATGATGTGGTTTAGCGGTGTCCTTACCCAAATCTCATCATGAATTGTAGCTCCCATAATCCCCATGTGTCATGGGAGGGACCCAGTGGGAGGTAATTCAATCATAGGGGCAGGGCTTTCCCATGCTGTTCTTGTGATAGTGAATAAATCTCACCAGATCTGATGGTTTTATAAATGGCAGTTCCTCTGCATGACCTCTTGCCAGCTGCCATGTTAGATGTGCCTTTGCTCCTCCTTGGCCTTCCATCATGATTGTGAGGCCTCATAAGCCACGTGCAACTGTGAATCTGTAAACCTCTTTTTCTTTATAAATTACCCAGCCTTGGGTATGTTTTATTAGCAGCATGAAAACAGACTAATACACCCCACCACTTGGTCTTTCCCTTTCATTCTCGATTTCAGCTAATTGTCCAGGTCATGCCTGCTTCAACTTCAATTCTTCCTTGTCCTTCCCACTCCGTACTGAATGGGGCACTAAATGTCACCAATTCTGCATTTTAGGTTATCTTTTCTGCATTCCAACTGCCATAGCCAATGCCCTCATCGACTCTCATCTGGGCAGGATAACGGCCTAACTGGTTTTTGCCTCTTCTTTCTCTACCAGTCCAACCCATACTGGAGTCTCTCATTTTATAACACAAGCTTGATTATTACCACCTCACTTCAAACCTTTTAATAACTCTCCAAACTCCCTGATATCTGGGCTCAAATTACCTTTTCAGTCCCATTTCCAAGCATGAGCTATCTGTACAAAGGTGTCTTCTATCCTACCTTAATCCCCTGGATCTACATAGAAGCTACAATATTCTGTGTAAGGAGTTTTGTACAGAATGCCATCCTCTCACTTCCTAAGCCTTAGATCAACATGTATAAACGACCAGCTTTGTACTCTCTACTTCTCCCCTCAAAATCTACTCAGGGGCCAGGTGCCATGACTCACACCTATAATCCCAGTACTTTGGGAGGCTGAGGTGGGAGGATTGCTTGAGGCCAGGAGTTTGAGATCGGCCTGGGCGACATCGAAAGACCTTATCTCTACAAAAATAAAAATATAAAAAATAAAAAAGTCTACTTGATAAAACTGTTCTCATTCTTCAAAGACAGGACAATATCACTTTCTCTCTGCAGCCTTCCCTGACTTTCCTCAATGGCAAAACCACTGAACTGCCTCATTTGCACTCTCCAGAATTTTGTTCCTGCCTCAGAATGGTACCTATCCTAAGACCCCTGTATGTTCCTAGAGCATAGGGACCAGCAATATTCATTTATGTATCCCCAGCACTGAGTGCAAGTGCCACCAGGCTTATAACAATAATTCCATAAATACTGAAGTAGTAAATCCCTAAATTTGACTCTTATCATGAAGACAGTAAGTTTCTGAGAAAATCAGTCTGATGGGAATAGAGAGATTCCAAGTAAGGAAGCATGGAACCCCACTAGGGGAAGATTCTTCCTGGTGACTCTCAAATCTCCTAGAGGTGGCTGCCTGCTCTGCCAGTACGTAAAGACATTCTCCTCTCCCTAGCCATGGCACCTTATTTCAGAACACAACACATGTGCTCTTAAAGCATAAAAGGGCCTCACTGTGCCTCCACTGTGACCCACAGCATCACTGTCCTAATGCTGTGATCTCAGCTACTCGCGATCTTGCCACATCAATAAATGAATCTAAAGTTGCATTAAAAACAAATGGGTGTAAAAGCGCCTATAGAGCCCTAAGAAGGAGAATATATTCTGAGATCAATAACTGAGAAGTGGACTGAATTTTAATTTTTTCAGAAGCTTTGCTTTCTGATATCTAGCCTCATTATGGCCTAAGTATATTGCTTCCCTTTTCCTGTAGCCTTCAAATCACTTAAGCCCATAAAGCATTTAATTTGTATTACAAGTTAGGTCCCACTTCAGACTAAGGTCCCAGAGGTACTTGAACAATCCTTAGGCCAGCGGCTCACTTCTTAAGCAGTAATATGCCATCCATATTGTGTACAAGGGACTGTTCTAGATCCAATGAGACCAGTTCCTGCCCTGAGAGAGCTTCTGTGTCAGAGGCAGAAGCATTTAAAGCATATATGAGCACAGTACAATGAGTTCCATGGTAGAAATGTATTCTGACATGGCTGGGCAAGGAACAGAGAGTCTTGAGCTGGCTATGTCCCTGGTTCCAGAAATGTGCTCTCGCCTCAGTGTATTACGCAATATTTATTCAGCCTCTACTACAAACTTTCTATTCTCATGGAACTTTCACTTGGGTTCAGTTTTAGCAAATAGATTCCTGTCTTACTCTCTTATACTAGAGTGCCTTCCAGAAGTACCATTTCTCTAGGATGAGGGCCCTACCTTTCGCTAAGCCAAACCTTCCAGGAACTTGACTTCTACCTTTGAATTCAAGTCCCATTATTGGGTCTGCCTCCCTGATGCTGAGTGTACATCCCTGCCTGTCCTTCCCCTGTTGTCCTCTGGCTGGAACCCCTGATACTGTCCTTTGCCCGCTGTGCCCCAGGGTCCTCATCCATAAGCTGAGGATAATAACAGTACCTCCCTCCATGGAATATTGTGAGGATTAATGAGACTAGGTTGGCACATGCTAAATACTCAATAACTGTCATCATCATTATTATCTTTATTACTAAGATCCTCGCCACACTGTCTCCCTCATCCATGGACTTTCCTTCCTGATAATGTGTGAGCTAGGGGAAAGAAGGGGCCCTCCTAGTCATGTCTATCCTCACTGAGGTTGTGAGGGCTCAGTTTAGCCTTCAGAGGCTGGCCACCCAAACCCAGCTGGGGAAACCAAGTACCTCTCAGTGTCAAGTAGCCATAAGCTAGGTTGGTCAGAGCTTGTGCACATTTCCAGTGATGGTCCCCAAAAATAATCCGAGAAAGGATGGCACATCGAATCAGCTCCTTGTTTGCTTGAGTATTCTGTAGAGTACAGAAGTGATTATACTTTTTGGAAAGGAGGAGAAGTCTCTAGCCCATGGACTTATCACTGGAACACAGGACTGAATTCACTTGTCATCTTTTTTCTCTCCTCTTTCTTTCTCATCCTGTGTCCAATCCATCAGGTCTGGTTGGATCCACATTCCCCCTAAATCCTAAAACCAAGCTCTTCTTCTCATTTCTGCCATGAGTACCTAGTCCAGGCCACCCTCATCTTTTACTTGGCTGGCTACAACAGCCGCTTCCAATTGCTTCCTCTCTGGCCCCCACAGTCTACTTTCTACGTAATAGCCAGAGTGACTTCTTTTAACCTTTTATCATGAAAAACTTTATTAGTATACAAAATAGCATGAAGAATGAATATGTAGCATGATCAGTGATCTATTCCTGGCCAATCTTGTTTCCTATCTAGATCTCTCATCCACCCATCCTCACCTTAAATTGAAGCAAATCAGACATTCCATTGTTGCCTCTATAAACATTTCGTAAGTACCTCTAAAAGATACGGACTTAGAAACATAACCACAAGATCATTATCTCATCAAAATATTAACAATAATTCCTTAAAATCAAATATCACAGAAATCTAATTTTTAAAATAGTTTGTTTGACTGTCCACATTGTGAGATCAGTCTCTTTCCATCTGTAGGTTACCTTTCCATCTCTAATTCTTTTTCTTACAAATTATTTGAAAAAGCTGAGTCATTTGGTCTAGTATTTCCCACAGACATAAATTTTGATGACTGCATCCTCATGGGATCTCATCATGTCCCTCCATTCTCTGTTCTTCCTTTATAATAGTAGTTGGGTTTAGAAGTTTGGTTAATTTCAGCTTTGAATTCTTTTTTTTACAAAATGACTTCATGGTTAGTGGTATGTTCTTCCAGCAGAATACATCTACTATCTGGTTGTTTTTTCTTTTTTTCTTTTTCTCAGATATTAGGAAAACTACATGGAAAATTAACAAAAGATTATAAAATGCAAATATATATTTCTATCATTCCTTCTTCATACATTAGCTGGAATAATTCTATAAAGAGAATTTCTCCTCCTCTACTCTTTGGTTACCCAATAGTACAGTTCATATTGGAAAGGCAGGACACATGGTTTATCCTTGCCCTTTCTTTACTAGCTTTCAGAAAAATGAATTTGTTCACTCGCATCCTCTAATTGTGACCAAATAGCTTGTTATTATTATTAGAAACTTATGGATTTTTGAACATATTTTATGTGTTTATATCTTAAGATGTAAATTAGATCGTGACTTTTCTATTCAAAATCCTCCAACAGCTTCCTGCTTTTTCTTCTTAACAGAATTCAAAGTCCTTACCATGGCTTCCAAGGTTCTGCACAATCTGACCCAACCCCAATCACCTCTGGACTTCATTTTCTACCATTCTCTCCTCCTACTCCATCTGCTAGAACTATACTGACCAGAGGTTCCTGAACATCACCAACTAACTTCCAATGCAGGGCTGTGCACATGCCGCTCCCTCTGCTCGGGACACTCTTCCATGTCATTCACTTTCTCATTCCATTTTCACTTTTCTTATCAACAGGCCTGTTTTGGCCACCTTATCTAAAACAGATGCCACTTCATCACTCAATATCCCATTACCTATTTTACTTTTTCTTCATAGCACTTATTTCTATCTAATATTGTATTAGTTATTATTTTTGTTTGTCTATTATCTCCCCGAATAGAAGATAAGTCCCTTGAGGACAGAAGTTTATTCCTCATGTTCACTGTTATCTGCTCAGTACACACAGGTGTAACACGTTCCGTATTTGCTGAATGAATCATTTATTAGCAAGGTTAAAGATGGGTTGGGGGAAATAATCCTCTACCCCTATAGAAGTGACAGGTACAGTTCTCTAAGAAATCACCGAACTGCATCTTCACGTCATACATTTCAGTGACTTTACAAACACAGCCAATATGGCTGGACCAGTTGATATGGTTAGGCATTTTTTGCCTGGTAAAGTGAAAATAACACTTCAAGGGACCAAAAAGCTAAAGTTTCAGCCCTGGTTCTAATGTTTGTTTACTGATTGTGTTGCTTTGGGGCAAGTCACTTTGATCTCAGCTTCCTTTTCTGAGATTTGGAAACCTGTATCATCTACCTCATGGAGTTACTGTAAGGAAAAAAAAAATAGTGTCAAAATGATTCAGTGTTGTTAAGTGCGATCTAAATGCAACCCGTTTGAAGAATAATGTACAGGTAACTGAAGTAACCCATTTAAAGAGTAATGTTAGATAAGATACAGCAGTACCATACGTGATTCCAAGGAATGCACTCCTTCCTGTCTTCTACCCAACTTCATGTTTTACCTGAACCCTGCTCAAATATACAGAAGCAAGCAATGGTAGAAGGAAACTTCCCCTGATGCTTCCAAAACATCCATTTAGTCAGCATTTTTTAGAGTTCACCATGGGCTGACCACAGCAAATACTAAGTTCTCTTTTGAGGAAGAAGCATCGTGCCATGAAAAAATCACTAGAATGGAAGACCAAAGCTTTGGCTCTGGACATTGTATATTCATCCTCGAACTCCTTGACTCGGAGAAACTGGGACAACCAATATGGGCTCCAGATGTCATCCCAGCACTACTGCTGTTGATGTGGCATCCCCTGCCCTTCAGGGCTAGGAGTACTGGGTTGGGTTTGATTTAAAAAAAAAAAAAAAAAAACAGCTTTATTGAGCTATAATTGACATGCAAATAACTGCACCTGTTCACTGTATACAATTTGATGAGTTTGGGATTTGAGTTAGATTTCTCTCCTAAGATCTAAATCTTTGTCATTATCCAATCTGGCCAAGGAGTTTTCAAGCCTTGAAAACCCCCACTTACACTCCATGGCAGATGGTACTTGTCCGTTTTTAGAAATGATCCTTCTAGCCTTCATTTGTGAATCACTAATGGGTCCAGGCCAGGTTGATTGTCCTTTGCAAGGTCCTCGGGTCATTTACAGAGATAAATTTACAAATATCCATCTAGAGAGATACTTCAGAGGCAAATGATAGAAAAAGAAACCTATCTAGATTACTTTTTTCCCCTTGGCTAGGAGGATCCAGGAAGTCAAGGTACAAACTCTTCTGTTGATAAATCATGTTCTGGAAGCAGGTGGGTGCCTGTGTTCTAATAATGAGAGTCGATGTCGTGCTGTCTCAGTTTCCTGGATTTTGATTACTCATGCTTACACACCTGCTCTGAGATCTTTGACTCAAGTCTTGGACTTGCTCTTAGAAATGCATACTTGGAATCTTTGACCTCCACTTCGACCTCCTGTTTCTGGCCCTTTAGTTTATTTATGATTGCACTGTAACCAAGGGCATCTTACCCATATCCTTTCCAGGCTAGAGCTTAGACCTGCCTGACTGCCTGTTCTCAACCTCCTGCGTTACTATCCCAGCCTTTTTGTTACCTAAGAGACAGCATCCTGAAACCTTCCAGGATGGATATATATATACACATACACACACACACACGTATATATATACATATGTACGTATTTGTATATATATGTATATATGCATATATATGTGTGTGTATATATACATATATACACTTTTTTTTTTCTCTTTGAGACAGAGTCTCGCTGTTGTTGGCCTGGGCTGGAGTTCAATGGCATGATCTCAGCTCACTGCAACCTCTGCCTCCTGGGTTCCAGCAATTCTCCTGCTTCAGCCTCCCAAGTAGCTGGGATTATAGGCATGCCCTGCCATGTCTGGCTAATTTTTGTATTTTTAGTAGAGACGGGGTTTCACCATGTTGTCCAGGCTGGTCTTGAACTCCTGACCTCAGGTGATCCGCCTGCCTTGGCCTCCCAAAGTGCTGGGATTACAGGTGTGAGCCACCAGGCCTGGCTATTTTTTTTTTTTTTTTTTTTTTTTAATTTTAAGTTAAAGGTAACAGCAACAAAAATAACCAAATGAAAATGTCTAGGTTTTTCAAATTTTTACTTTATTTTTTTAGAGACAAGGTCTCATTCTGTCACCCAGGCTGGAGTGCAGTGGCGGCACAATCATGTGCTCACTGTGGCCTCAATTTCCTGGGTACAAGCTGTCCTCCTGTCTCAGCTTCCTAAGTAGCAGGCTCCCTCCACCATGCCTGGCTGATTTTTAATTTTTTTATAGAGACAGGGTCTCACTATGTTACTGACGTGGGCCTCAAGAGATCCTCCCACCTCAGTTTCCCACAGCGTTGGGATTACAGGCATAAGCCACTGCACCTAGCCTAATTTTTAGTTTAAAGCTAGGAGCAGAAATGCCCCAAGGAGGAACAGACAATGAACCATGCAGATCTAACTCAAATCCCAGCACTACTGGAACCAGAAGGTGGGCTGGCTACCTAAGTATGCTCTGCTTTGTTTTCTCCTACTTACAAAGAAAGATGGCACCTTCCTCTATTTCATACGCTTCAATCTGCATCTAAGGCATAGCTTCTGTGATCATGAACATATTTTTAAATGGAAGCAAAATTTTTGTGAGTTTTTTGTTTTACCATTTTTTCCTTAATCAGCTGAGCTACTTTCTTCTGGGATTGGGCTAATTTCTCTCTGGGATGAGACATACAGTCTATGGCCTTCTCCTCTTCTTTAGTTTTAGTTTCCTCTTCACTCTCTCCACATCCACTGGTGTGATACAACTTATCTGTTTGCTGGTGAGCTGGGATCTCGGTTTGCTGTGACCTGTAGGTATGAGAGAAGGGATTCAGAATTTAACCACCTTTGCCATCTCAAACAAGGTAAAATTGAAGGCATAGCTCTCGCAGCTGAGGGATAGGGACATGCTTTCTAACATAAACTTGAAGGAATAAAGCTAAACTCACGTCACCCTCAAAGCTTAGCATTAAGACAGCAATGTGGTGGTTCAAATGAAGCCTAGTTATAGAGGTGCAGCTCTACTGCTTACTAATCACGTGACCCTAACCAAGTTATTAATTTAGTTCTCTGTAAAATGAGAATATGAATGCCTACTTGATGAGGTTATGGGATTAAATGAGATAATACTCATAAATCAGTTAGCACACTGTGTGGCCTTTACTAAGTGTTCCTTTCATGTTAGCTATTAGTATATCATTAGCTCCAGGACAGGGCTGCTTCTAGAAATGAGGATGTTGAACTGGAAGATCCCCAGGAACATCTGTGTTCTAAAAATCTGATCCAAACAAGGAAAGAAAATGGATATAATGAAATAAGGGAAAGGAAACCAACATTTTGAGGCTAGACTTTGCATGTCTTCTTTCTCATATCTTAAAAGCTTCAACATGTGATGGCCAAGAAAAGAGGACATGGGTCCCACCAGAGAGAGTGAGGGAGCCCTATACTACATCAAGTGCAGGGCCAGAGGAGAAACATCCTTAGTTGTGTTAAAAAGAACTATATCCTAACATCGCCAGAAAAATCAGTAAAGTGCTACAGAAGAAACAGAATTTTGAGATCTTAGGAGCAACAACAGAAATTTTAAGTATAAATAAGTCTCCCAAAGGACTCATCTTTGTACTCACAATAAGTTCAGCCACTGAGTAGTTTGGAAAATAAAATTTACCTTTCTTTTCCAGTGATTGCTTAAATTGTGAATGTTCAATGTGTAAATAAAAGAAAAATTCAGAAAAGCACAAAAAGCTTAAAGAGTGAATGTTCAGTGTTTAAATAAACGAACATTCAGAAAAGCACAAAAAGAAAGTAACTGCCACGTGTCATCTTTTACACCAGGTTTGAAAAATGACATGCTAATATTCTTCTAGAGTCCTATTCTAATTAACTTATCAAGAGGCACATGGGCAAACCAGGTTGTGTAGATAGGAAAGCAACATTTCTTCAGGCCCAAGCGCAGGCAGGCTTGCCTTCTGCCCACAGCTGCTTTCAGTAGACAAGCTAACTTGATGGGACAGCCAAGGAAGGTTGGCGATGCGACCTGATCAGAAGACAGGTGATAAACTTCCTTTTCTCTGCCTGGTGAATTCCATACTCCACCTTCAAGATGCAACTCAGACGTCATCACTCCTGGAAGTCTTTCACTGGAGTAGCAATAAAGGCAGCCTCCAAAGGGCTTTCAAAAATTTCCCCCAAACCGCTAGTACACTGTGGGGTTTTTTTATTGTTGTTTGATTTTTTTTTATTGTTGTTTCTTTGGCTTGTTTCTGAGCATTCTTTGCCTCCTGGCAAAGTAAACTCCACCAGGGCAGGGGCTGAGCCTCATTTGTTTCTGAAAACCTGATATCTGGCTCACAGTAAAAACAAGTAATGGCCTGTTAAATGATGAAATAATGAATGAGAAAAGAATGTGCAGTTTTTAGAATGTTTGAAAACTATTGAGGAGAGAGGAAATCTGTGGCAAGAGATCATAAGTCGGCTGACTCTGGGCATGCTGCCTATAAGCTAGCCCTGCTCTGCACGGAGCAGTTAAAAAATAAAAAAGAGATCATACCTCAATAGAAAATTTTGCTTAAGCTGCATATTTCACAGACCTAGAGCAGAAGTTAAATCTATTGGAGTCACTAAACAGATTGCTAATTATGGGTATTAAAAATTATAAGCCCAAAGTATTTTAAGTTAAGCCTTGAATAACATTAAGGTAAGACCGAAGGTAGCAAACTTCAACCTTAGGGACTTCAAAGGAATGATAAACATTGAGGTCTTGACAAATGATTTGAGAATGTAAATCCCTGAATTAGCTTTGAATGTCGTGTTATAAAAGGTGAGAAAGATGACTGGAGAATCCTGACCAGTCAGACATCTCAAAGGATGGTCAGAATAAAAAGAAGAGGAGGTTGAATGGAAGGTCTGCCTTGCCAGGCTTATAACTTATTCCATATGTTACCATCATAAATAGGAATTCTGATTAGTAATGTTCAATATAAATTATCTGATTATTTCCCAGATATTTTACTGTGAACATTTTTATGAACTTCAGTTTTTATAGTCACATAACCCTTAACATCAAGTTATTTTATGAATTTAAACTTATGCTATCCAGATGGGGCACAGTGGCTCACACCTGTAATCCCAGCACTTTGGAAGGTCGAGGTGCGTGGATCACTTGCGGTCAGGAGTTTGAGACCAGCCTGGCCAACATGGTGGAACTCTGTGTCTCCTAAAAAATTCCACAATGAGCCCGTAATCCCAGCTACTTAGGAGGCTGAGGCACGAGAATAGCTTGAACCTAGGGGGCGAACGGTGCAGTGAGTCAAGATCATGCCACTGCACTCCAGCCTGGGTGACAAAGCAAGACTCTGTGCAGGGAGCCAAAGGCCCGTGGGACGTGATCAACTCAGCATTCCACTGGAGACGATATGATCAAACAGCAAACTGTTTATCATGAATGCAGGATGTGAGCAAACTCACCAGTGCTCCTGCTGACAGAAGGTTTGCTGGAGGCAATCACTCCCTGGCGCTGAGGTTATCTACTGTGACATCTAGAGCCTGTTGTTCGAGGAATGCAGTCTTGCAAGCCTACTCTGGACTGAGCAGCTGACCCCTCTTCCACCCCTCTTCTCACCATCTCTTTTGCCTAATAAATATGGAGGGCTGTGTACAGCTCAGGGCCCTTGTCCACTAGAGGCAAGGTGCCCCCTGACCTCTTCTTCCAAATATACTCTTTTGTCTCTTGTCTTTTATTCCTGCGTTCACCCCTCCTTTGTTCAGTCCACCAGGGATCATGGCAGGTTACATAGGGACCCCCAAACAGCGACAGAATCTCGTGCTCCACAACTCTGTCTCGAAAAAAAAAGAACAAAATGCTATCCTATATGGTAACTACTAGCCACATGTGGCCATCAAGCACATGAAATATTGCTAGTCTGAATTGAGATATGCTGTAAATGTAAAATATGTGCTGTATTTTAAAGAGTATAAAAAGATAAAATATTTCATTGATAATTTTTGCATATTTTGTATATATTGAAATAAAGAAAATACAGTATTGAAATTAAATTCATGTGTTTCATTTCACCTTTTAATATGGGTAGCAGAAAATTTTAAATTACGTATGTGGCTTGAGTTATATTTCTATTTGATGGCACTGGTATAGAGCGATGGTTCCCAACTAAGGATGACTTTGCCCCGAGGGGAAATCTGGCAGCGTCTGGAGACAGTTTTGCTTGTCACAACTGGAGCTAGTGCTACCGGCATCTAGTGGATAGCGGCCAGGGATGTGGCTAAAAATCCTATAGTATATAAGACAACCCTCCACAACAAACAGTTATCCAACCCCAATGTCAATAGTGCAGAGATTGAGAAACCCTGGTATAGAGAATGGTTAAAGAATGGACCCTAGCTGGGCACAGTGGCTCATGCCTGTAATCCCAGCACTTTGAGAGGCTGAGGCAGGAGGATCACTTGAGCCCAGGAGTTCGAGACCAGCCTAGGCAACATAATGAGAACCCATCTCTATAAAAATGTAAAAATTAGCCAGTTATGGTGGTGTGTGCCTGTAGTCCCAGCTGCTCGGGAGGCTGAGGTGGGAGGATCTCTTTAGCCCAAGAGGCCAAGGCTGCAGTGAGCTGTAATTGCACCAGTGCACTCCAGCCTGGGTGACAGAGCAAGACTGTCTCTAAAAGCAAAACAAAACAAAACAAGAATGGATTCTAGAGTCAGAATGCCCAGTTTAAATACCACTTACTAGCTGTGCAACTTTGGGCAAACTCCCTAACATCTCTTTGATTCATACTCATCTATAAAATGTACCAATAACAGTACCTCCTTCACAGGGTTTGGGGGGATTAAATCAGCTAAGATGTTTAAGGTACTTAGAACAGAGCCTGGTACAAGTATGTGCTCAATAAGCATTAGACAATATGAAAGTTTTATTTACTGTTTCATAAAACTTAATTTTCTCATTAACTTTGTTATAGCTAACTCTCTACAACTTTGCCAATCTTGTTATAACTAGTCTATTTTTATTTTAAAAACTTCTAAAATTTCCTTAAGTCAGGAAAAAGCAATCTTCTATCATGCATAGGTTGTAAATACAAACAGATAATATAGCAGAATCATTATTAAAGCACATCACAGAAAGACAACCTTTTTTTTTTTTTTTTTTGAGACAGTGTCTCTGTTGCCCAGACTGGAGTGTAGTGGTGCAATCTCAGCTCACGGCAACCTCTGCCTCCAGGTTCAAGCTATTCTCCTGCCTCAGCCTCCTGAGTAGCTGGGATTACAGTCGCGCGCCACTACTGCACAGCTAATTTCTGTATTTTTAGTAGAGACGGGGTTTTACCATGTTGGCCAGGCTGGCCCTGAACCCTTCTCTTTTATATAATGTTCATGCAAAGCTCCTCACCCAGGTTTGCCTTAAGCAGGAGGTCCCAGTGTTTCAGCCCAGTGAGTACCTGTGATGTCAAAATTCTGTGATACTTACATACGGAAGCAGAAATCCCAGTCGATGTCATTGCTAACAGTTGGGATACGGATGGGGCTGGCTTGCATCTTCTTCCTACCAAGAATCAGGTAAGGTCAGCTTTGGGAGAAAAGGCTGGGTGTCTGTTCTATTTTCCCCCTCTGGGATGCTATTAACATTAAACTAAAACTGCTCAAATATATAACCCATCCTAAATCCACAGACTACGCATACTCAGATATGGAGACCGCTGGAAGACAGACGGTCTTCAATTTGCCAAATTAAATGTCAGTTAAATTTATTTCCCCTAATTTCAACTCCACCCTACTTCTCCAAAATCCCTGGCCTTTATGTCTCAAAGCAAGCACATTTACAGCTCCTGGGTTATCAAAACTATGGTCACCTACTCAACTCAGATATTGTTTTTGCAGGTCTGACGGCATGATGGATTTAAGCAAAGCAACCAGTTCTCAGTGGTAAACGAAGCACAGTGTGTTGGTTAATTCTGCTTTTTTTCGCTGGGGTCATTTCACTAATTAATAGCGGATTCTAGTAAAGGGGTCACAAAGCGGGTACAGAGGCTCACGCCTGTAATCCCAGCACTGTGGGAGGCCGAAGCAGGTGGATCACCTGAGTTCAGGAGTTTCAGACCAGCCTGGCCAACATGGTGAAACCCTGTCTCTACTAAAAATACAAAATTTAGCCCGCTGTGGTGGTGCATGCCTGTAGTTCCAGCTACCCAGGAGGCTGAGTTTGTAAGTATCACAGAATTTTGACATCACAGCCGGGAGGCTGAGGCAGGAGAATCGCTTGAACCCGGGAGGGGGAGATCGCAGCAAGCCGAGATCCCGCCACTGCACTCCAGCCTGGGCGACAGAGTGAGACTCCATCTCAAAATAAAATAAAACAATAAACTGAAATTCATGTGTCTGTTTTAGTTGCTGCTGTTAGATGATGGGGGAAACCTCGGAAGCACATGACGAAAAATATGATTTCTAAATACAGTATTTGTGAAATTCAACTGTCAAGGAAGGCTATGCCAGGCGCTTAAACCAAATCCAAATCGAACGCAGTTATTTACTGAACGTTAACATCCACCAAGTAGCCTCTCATTTCACCCTCCAGAAATCACTCATTCCCGCCGACCCCTGAGTGGCTTTCTGACCCAGGCTCCAGAGCATCCACTAACCGAAAATCAGAAAGGGAGACTCACTAATTTCTCTTTTTAACCTCCACTTTAAACACTATGCCCACAGCAAGGCGTTCTGATCTCTCAAACTTCCGGACTCTGTTCCTATGATGTTCCGCATGGCCCTGAACACTAAACTCTGGTCCCCCGCTCAGGTACGAATCGCTCCTCTTTTCCTGCTGTGGTTCCGCGGTCACTCCGTTAAGCCCTGACGCCACAGGTCGGGCTCTGCTTAGCACTGACCCTGCTGCGGAGGCTCTAAGAGAACGCGCGAGTGCGCACAGCACACCTTGCCCAAGGCGGGGAATCCACGCCCCGGAACCAGCCTCCCCGCTCCCTCAGCCCGACTGCGCGGCTTCTTCCCGCTGCGTCGGCCTCCTGATCCTGGCCGACCTCGGTCCGGGCGCCAAAGCGGTGCCTCGCAGAAGTTACACAGCCTACGAGGTCCCCTTTATTTTCCGCAACCCAGGTTCCGGCCAAGGAGACAATACCGTTGCCATGGGGACGGAACGCTACGGGCCTGCTGGGAGCGCCTGTAGCCATAGCGACGCGGGGCGCTTCCGGTTCGGAGAGTCCCTGTTGGCTAGAGCCTACAGCAGCTCTTACGGCACCCTCCGCTTTCCCGTCCCCGCAGGCTAGACGCTCACGGCCTCCGGCTCGCCCCAAAACTGGCCTCTGCATATTGTATCTCACGAGACCTTACCACTCGGAGGTGAAGGCATAGGAAGAGAAGATACATTCCGTCCAAAGATGGAAGGGAGCACTGGGCCCCACGACCCTACCTATTTAAAGCTGCGACGTGTGCGGGCTGGATTCGGCGACGATCCCTTGCTACGGAGCACCCCCACAGCTCCTCGGGAGTTTTGTTTTCGTGGACCCCAGAGGAAAGGCTTAAGATATGGCTGTTGACTGTGCTGGCATCGTCTGTTCTACCCAGTCAGATTGGAGCTAGGCCTGGTTAGGAAAGCGGATTGCAGGAAGTGAGTAGGCTAAGAAATCAACTACTCTAAAATCTGCTAATGGTTAGCTGTTCAGCGAGGGAGTCGGGCACATTTAGCACTTAGCCCTAAATAATGCAGCCATATCTTACCCCTTCGTTGGCCTGGAATACACAGTGTCTGGAATACACAGTGTGTGTAATGCACAGAAGGAGCAGAGGCAGTTGTGGCCATACCCAAACCGCGCCAGCTCTTAACAACGCTATGTTGAAGGATGTTATTATGAAACCTATCACAGACTAGGCCTATGGCAAGTCAAGTTGGAGTGAATGTGTCCCAGTTGTTTTCAGAAAAGAGCAGACTAGGTAGAGAGACACGGAGAACATCGAGAATGTGACAGATGGTATTTACGTTTGGTGTTTGTTATTTCCAGCTCGAGGATGGAAGTTTAATTGCCATTGATCCAAGACTGCCAAGAAAGCCTTTCTAGGGTTAGCTTGGAGGAGTTATTTAAATGAGTTTGCTTGAATATCTCTTAAGTAAAGCCTGTATGGTCTGTTAACTCAAGATTTAAATCAGTACCTTCGAGCTCCATAGTCACAATTTTGGAAAGATTCCCCCACTTCCTCGTTTTTCCTAAGAAAACTCTCAGCATGGAACAATGATGACAGCAATGAACTTGATTTCAGAATGTCAAGGTTCTGGTTCTGACAAGTGTGTGGGTCCCAGTTTTCTTGCCTATACAGTGAAAGTACTTGTACCACTTAGTTTCTGAAGCTCCTTCTGGTTCCAGGTTTCTGTAAGGGGTAAACGATTTTTGTGACTCCATGAACAGTATTTAACATGTATGGCAGTAAAAAGGAAGACTGTTTCCTGTTCTCCAACATTTATTTCTCTCACCCCTTGTTAAGTTGGTCATCAAATTGAAAGGTTTTAGTGTTCTTTCATTGTGGGAAGTGGCTATGGGATTGTTTCTAAGTATATTAGCGGTAATGTCTCTCTTCTAAACTTTTGCTTTTGCTGATAATTGTGAAGGGAAGTGGAACCAGAACAGACACTGAATTCCCATTCCTGAAGCTAACGCTCTGATTCGGCCTCCATTTCATTAGCTCTGACCACAAGCACGTTGCCTGCATCTGTAAAAATTATAAATCAAAATAAAAGAACTTTGACGACTTTTTTATTTTTATTTTTTTTTTGAGACGAAGTCTCACTCTGTGGCCCAGGTTGGAGTGCAGTGGTGTGATCTTGGCTCACTGCAACCTCCACCTCCCTCCCGCATTCAAGCAATTCTCTTGCCTCAGCCTACCAAGTAGCTGGAATCACAGGCCAGTACCTGTGCCACTACCGTCTGGCTAGTTTTTGTATTTTTAGTAAAGACAGGGTTTCACTATGTTGGCCAGGCTGGTCTCGAACTCCTGACCTCAGGTGATCTGCCTGCCTCGGCCTCCCGAAGTGCTGAGATTACAGGTGTGAGCCACCGTCCAGCCAGAACTTTGAAGACTCTTGAAGTTCTGTGGTATTTTCTTTCCTTGCCACGTTAACCCTGTCTCCCAAATGTAAGCTTTAGTTGTAGTATATACACTTTTTAGGTTTGTTCACTAACTCTGGGATGGAATCCCACTAATCGAAGTGGATAGTGCTTTTCCACTGTGTGTATTCACATTCTCTCCCCTGATCTGGAGGTAGAGGTGGCAAGTATTGCTACTGCAGAAATTGCATAGAGGAAGCAGTCTGGAGAGTTTTCTAGGCTCTTACAACCCCAAATCAAATATGATTATCTCCAAACTATTCTATCTCCAGGAACTGTGAAATTTAAGGCAAGGAAATCCAAATAAACTTTCTCTTGGAACACATTTTTATGGCCTCTCAAGAGAGGGTTAGATGCCTTGCTTCTGAACTCCCACAGTATCCTGTCCACAAGCTCGTCATGATTCTCACATTGTACTGGCATTTCTGTTTATTTGCAAGTTTCTCCAGTCTCCATACATCTATCCTTCCACTCAGACAAAAATATTTGTGGAATACCTACTATGTGCCTGATAATGTTATAAGCAGTAGGAAAGCAAAAGTGAACAACTAAGAATGATTTTGCTTTCCAGGAATTTCTGTTCTACTAGATGAAGAAAAACACAGCTGGTAGTAAACAATAGTGTCTCTGCAAGTTACAAAAAGGCATAAGGCTTAGGAAGTATGCAGCAACATTGTATGAATTTGGGAAAAGCCTCTTCTTCCAGCCAGACTCAGACCGCTGCTAAGGAGTACAGCTTTGGAAACAGAGAGTGGGCTGGAATTCAGGACTCACTCACTTCCTTAGCTAGATGAGTCGCCTTAAGAAAAAGTGGGTCAGGTGTGGTGGCTCATGCCTGTAATCCCAGCACTTTGGGAGGCCGAGACAGGTGGATCACGAGGTCAGGAGTTCAAGACCAGCCTGGCCAACATGGCGAAACCCTGTCTCTACTAAAAGTAAAAAATTAGCTGGGCGTGGTGGCAGGTACCTGTAATCCCAGCTACTCGGGAGGCTGAGGCAGGAGAATCGCTTGAACCTGGGAGGCAGAGGTTGCAGTGAACCGAGATTGTTCCATTGCACTCCAGCCTGGGTGACAAGAGCAAGACTCCATCTCAAAAAAAAAAAAAAGGAAAAGAAAAAGAAAACGTGATAAACAGTTATGGAGAAAAATAAAACCAAGTGAGGGATCTAGAAGGTGATGTGGCCATGGCGGGAGGGGTGTGCTATCTTACATAGTGTGGTTAAATAGGGCCTCTCTGACAAGATGACATTGAGAAGAGACCTCAAATCGTGCAACAAATTGGGCAAATATCTAGAACATTCTAAGATGTTAACAGCAAGTGCAAAAGCCCTGAGGTAGGAGCAAGTTTAATGGGGTCAAAGAACAGCAAAGGGCAGTAGGAATGAGGAGGAAGGAGATAAAAGACTGTTCCAGTAAAGTAGTGGGGCACTGGGTCATGGAGGGCCTTTTAGGCAATCCATCCATCTAAATATTCATCTACCCACTCAGTGAATACAGAATACCTGCTAGGTAGCAGGCCCTGTTTGGCCAGCTATGAGCTCCTTGTGAGCAGGAGCTGTTATCATTGAGCCTTTAGCATTCAGCACAAAAACATTTAATAAACTACAAATGACCTTTAGGAACTCCACTAGTAGAGATTCTGGCCTACCTGTGTGCATCAGTTTCCTATTGTTGCTATAATAAGTCACCACAAACTCAGTGGCTTAACAAACCACAACTTTATTATTGTATAATTCTGGAGGTTGAAAGTCTGAAATGGGTGTCACTGGGCTAAAGACAAGATGTCTGCAAGGGTGGCTCCTTCTGGGAGCTCAAGGAGAAAATTTTTTCTTAACCTTTTCCAGCCTCTAGAGCTTCCCTGCATTCCTCGATTTGTTCTCTTCATCTTCAAAGCCAACAGCAATGCAGCATCTTCAAATCTCTGACCCTTCTTTCCATTTTAAAAGATACTTCTTGTTATACTGGGCCCACCTGGATAATCTTATTTAAAGGTCAGCAGATTAGCAGCCTTCATTCTATCAGCAACCTTAATTCCTCCTTGTCATGTAACTTATTCACAGGTTAGATTCACAGCTAACGAATTCACAGGTTCTGAGGATTAGGACATGGACGTCTTTGGGAGGACTTATTCTGCTTACTAGAGTGTGTAACTTAAATGCATGGCTTTAAAAACATATGGAGGTGACACATAAGGAACCCGCTTCTCCTGGCTGTTAGCAGCTTATATCATTGGACTGTGTCCTGCTCCTTTCTGTCCCTTACTGATGTGGTTTGGCTGTGTCCCTACCCAAATCTCATCTTGAATTCCCACGTGTTGTTGGGGGAACCTGGTGGGAGATAATTGAGTCATGAGGGTGGGTCTTTCCCATGCTGTTCTTGTGATTGTGGATAAGTCTTACGAGATCTGATGGTTTTAAAAACAGGACTTTCCCTGCACAAGCTCTCTCTTCGCCTGCTGCCATCCATTTAAGACGTGACTTGCTCCTCCTTGCCTTCTACTATGACTGAGAGGCCTCCCTAGCCATGTGGAACTGTAAATCTATGAAACCTTTCTTTTGTAAATTGCCCAGTCTTGGGTATGTTTTTATCAGCAGCGTGAAAATGGACTAATACTCTTATGTATCCTCCACTGTATAATCTGGTACATCCAGTTATGATTCTTGAATATGCTGTTTCTTCCCATTTTTAGAGCCTGCTTTATAGTAAGTATGCAGGAATATCTCTTTGCTTTCCTCCTACTCACCTCGTGGGGGCTTTACTCCTCAAAGAAGCCTTTCCATCTACTGGAACCCATATTGATTGTTCCCTTGCCCAGCTCCTGTGGCTCACTGAGCCCTTCTTCTTTTGTTTCTCAAATATGTCACACACTCCCATAATGCTTGACAAATCTCTGCCCTGATCTGGTGAACAGAAATTGCTACTCTTGTGAATGCCCTGGTTCCTTGGTCTGTGGCTTTTTCCAGCTCACTCTTGGCCTTGCAGTCTGCCTCTTAATTTTGCTCAAAAAATGACCCCCATCTTTGTTGGATAATATTTCTGCTATTGTCAGCACCCAATATTCTTGTTATGTCGTATTGCAAAAGGTTGTGCTTTGACATGTTCAGGGAGTGTTTTCCCCTCACAGCGTATCACGTGTTTATCTTAAGATGGGTGGGTTTAATTACTAAAGGCTTTGGCATTTGTCTTGAAGTGTATGTAAGGAAAACAAATTAATGACTCATTATTATTAACCAACATGAAGGGAAAGGCCATTCTTTCTCAATGTGATGATATGAACAATATTCTATTCATTTTTTTCCTGCCCATATCATATCTTGATGGAAGCTAATGTAAAAGTGAGCAATTTGAAAATTCAAAAAATCCTTACACGTGTAAAGACATACAAACATACATAGGATAGTCATTGTATTATTGTTGTAGCTGCAATACTAGAAGCAATTAAATGTCCATAATGTGGAATTATCAAGATAAAATATAGCACAACCATACTTATGAAATTTTATTCAGCAGTTAAAAAGAATGAGATGTGTATGCTGACAGAGAATAATCTCCAAGATATTTAAAAAAGAAAGAAAAATACATGCCTACATGTACATATAGACAGAGAATGTCTCAGGTCATCGAAGAAGCTTACTAGATGTTGCTTCTGGGGAGATGCACTAAGGATTGGGGAGTAAGAGAAAGATTTACCTGTGGTTCCTTTCACTTGTCCTACAGTCTCAGCTGCTATCTAATTGTGGAGGCAGGAGAGTTTCTTTTCATATCCTGACTTTGCCTTATGAAGCGTTTCTGTCCATCAGAGATGACTGGTTTGGGTTTATCTCAGTTTCCTCCCCAGCTGAGTGTCCCCACGAAGTCACCTTCTGAGTTGTCTGGTTGGCCACAATTGAAATAAAAGGTTCAATTGGGTATCACACACATGCTTTCTTTGAAATACAGTTTCAGTGTATAATAGGAAGGCACAATGAAACTGAAGTAGAGGTGGTGGAATCATGTTGTAAGTGAAGGGAAATGGCCTTGTAACATTGGAGTATGCGAAACAATGCTAACTCCTTAAGTAATTGTACCTATTTCATGTCATTTTAATTATGATTTTAACCTTGCCAGAATTCACCTGACAAGAGTTTTGTCAGGAATGAATTGAATTATCTTTGTAATGGGGCAGGAAAATGTATTTGGATTTTTTTTTTTTTTTTTTTTTACTGTGTGTATGTTTTACTTTTTCAAAAAAAGCAAGAAGCAAGAGGGAAAACAATCCAGTGGAGGCTTCCGAACAGTTAAAAAGACTGCAGATTAAATGAGAGGAATTGTGGATTAAACGACTGTGATTCAACTGCCCCAAAGTGGCTGATACTCGGGGCAGAGCTCAGGGTGAATCCAAGAGCTGGGAAAAGGAAATGATGTGAGACTTTGTGTGGAACAGTGCGGATAACTCACACCAGTTGAGCACAGCACAGCCTAGAAAACCCATCACACTGAAATGCTGTTGAACTGATCTTCAGAAGCCACACAGAGATGCTTCTGAATACACCAAAAATCAACACCAGAAGTGCAAAATGAAACAAGTTTATTATTTTCTCCAATAACTTCTGTAAATTACAAAGACAAAATACTAAACTACAGCATATAACTTTT